TAAATAATAAATATTTTTGCCATTAAGTAATCTTTAAAGTTAATATAAATATTAAAGCTACTTATATTATTAAAGAAGTTATAAAGAAAGGCTTAATTTATTAAAAAGGTATAATAAGTATGCCCCTTTTTATTATTATTAATAACTAAAGTTATTATAATGCTAATAGCTTTAAAGTTAAAATCTTTAAAGCTAATAAAAAATATATTAAACTTATTATTATTAACTTATTATTTAATATTTTTATATATATAAATATATATAACTTTGGCATGCTATTAATCTTTAAATAAGTAATTTATTAACTAATATCCCTCTTTATAATATATAAAATACTTTTTCTTTCTACATTATATATCGTTATTATTACCTTTATTAAGCTAATATTTACTATTATAACTACCTTTATAAGGTTCTTTATTATAGCTATTGCCTTTAAACTAATAAAGCTGGCTTAAGCAAAAGTTAAATTAAAAGCTATTACCCTTAAAAAAAAGTTAAGGATACCTTAAGCATTAATTATTATTATTATATTGCTTATTAAGATAATATTACTTTTTAATATTTATAATAGTTAAATTATTATTATCCTAATTATTATAACTATTAGCATAGCCTTATTTATAAGCTTATTAATTATCTTTTGCAATTATATATTATAATATAAGGTTTTAAGCCTTTAATGCCTTAATATATTATTATAAAATAAAGTAAAGTTGCTTAATATTTATTAGCGCTATTAAAATAATATAATAAAATTTAAAAATACCTTATATTGCTTATAAAATTATATTTTATAAAGAGCTATTCTTATAAATAATATACTTAAATGCTTTATAATAAAGTTGCATTTTATTAATAAGCATTTAAAGAATATCTACATAGCTTTTATTTAAGTTTCTTTATTAAAAAGTAAAGAAAATTAAAGTATTTTAATTTATAAAATAGTTATAATAATTATTATTTATATTAAATTAATTCTTAAATTTCTTATATACTTAAGTAAATAAGTCCTCTTAATTAATAACTTAAATATAATATATCTTTATTAATCCTTTAAGCATATATAAAAAAGCTACCTTAAACTATTAAGGCTAAATTTATAGGTTGCTATAAGCCTTATAAAAAAGGAGGATTTTATTATTAAGAATATTATATAGTTTTTTAATAAATATTTTATTTTTATAATAATATTTATTTAAGTTAATTATTATATTTAAGTTAAGTAGAAAGTTCTTTATTTTTATTAAAGGTAAAAGGGTATAATAATTATATGCTATATAAAAGTTATTAACTAAAGGAAGGTTATTGCCTTCCCTTAATAAATTAAAAGGTCTTAAAAGGCTATTATTACCTTTATTATTATCGTTAAGTAAGCTAGGTAATTTAAGTAATTTAGGATTAAGAAAATTATTATTAATAAATAGTTTCTTATCTTTTATTAAGGTATAATTAAAGTTAGGAATAATATAAATACTTAAATTATAGTTTTAAATTTAATTAATCTTAAATATAATGCAATATTCTTACTTTTAATTTACTAGCTATTTAAAATAATTTAATACTTTAAGGATATATATAAGTTCCCTTAAAGTATTTACTTTTTAAATATAAATGCCCTTAACTTAAAAAGTTTTTTTAATAATGCATAGCAAGTTTTTATTAACTTATATAAATATTAGCTTAGTTTAACCATAAAAGTCCTTAATAAACGCTTTATATACCTTATTACTTAATATATATACTATAGCTTAGATTTAGCCTTAAATATAAGTATTTAAGTATTATTTATTGCTAAGAAATCTTAGGGGATTTATCTATACTAAGAAATTAAGTATCTTAATAATGCTTTTAGGTATAAAAATATAATTCATTATAATTAATATTAATAAACCATTTTAGCTAATAATATTACTTATTATATCTATTATTTTATTGCTTTAATAAAGTAATAATAAAAGTATATTTAATTTAAAAAAGAAAGTAATAAAAAGGGAAAATAAGTAGTATTAAGGGAAAATAAAAAAGTTAAAAATTACTTTTATAACTTAGCCATTAAAAGGCAAATTAATTCCTTTTTTTATATTTATTTATATAATAAAATATAAGTAAATATATTATTAATAAAAATAAATATTAATTTAATTCTTTTAATTATAACCATTAAATTTAAAAGTTATTATTAAGGTTATTTAAGGCATAATAAATGCATATACATTAAGGGTAAGGGAGTTTGCTATAATTTCTTATTATAATAATTACTTCTTTATATATTAAGTATTATTATTATTATAAATTACGCTATATAAATTTATAATATTAATAATGTTAATTAATATAACTAAAAGGTTATTTCTTTAAGCCTTATTAATTTATAATTATCCTTATAATTATTAATTAATATTAACTAAATTATATATTATAATATAATGTTTAATTAGTATAGTGGTTAATCATTATTAATTATAAAAGGAAGGAAGGCAAAAGGCCTAACTATGCTAGCTATTTTATATGCAGCGCTAAAGCTGCTGCCTGCCAGGCATCCTAACGGGCCAAAGCTGCCTAGTCCCAAACAGTCCTCCATACAAACGACACTCATTATTCCCATACGTTTTATAATTTTTAAATTTTATTATTATTATAATAAAAAGAATTTATAAAGATATTAGCTTAATATAAATATAGTTAAGTATTATATAAGTTATATTATTATATTAAAAATAGCATTTTAATTTTCTTTTATATAAATAATATTATTATTATATATTAAAAGAATTATTAAAATTAAGTAAATAAGTTAATAAAGTAATTTTAAGAAAAGTATAAGATTATTAAAGGATATTTTATTTAATAATTTCTTAAAATATAAATTATTTAAGATTATATAAATTAATAAATTTAGCTAACTTAAATTATATATATTAAGAAAATTATTAAATTAGCTAATAAAATAAATATTTCTTATAAGGTTTTTATAACTTTTAAAGAATTATTATTATATATTATTATTATTATAAAAGCTAAAGTTTACTTTTATTAAAAGAAAATTAAGTTACTTTTATTTATTATAATTTTTATATAATTAAATATTATCTTTGCTATATTATAGCTTATTTAATTCTTAATTAATTTAAGCTAAAAATATTATAATATAGTTAATAAAGTATTATTATATTTTTTTTATATTAAGCATTTTGCCTTATGCTTTTAAAATTTAAAGGAATTTATAATTATTAATAATGCATTTTTTATTAATAATTCTTTAAATTAAAAGAGCTTATAAGCATTTATTATAAAGTTATTTAATAAACTTATTAAATAAAAAGTAAATAAGTAAGATATAGTTATAATTTTTATTATAAAAGCAAAGTTATTAGCTTTAATTTAAGTTATAAAAAAAATATTTTTTATAAACTAGCCTTTTATTAAGCTATTTATAAAATTAAATAATAAAATTATTAAAATTAAGTATAATAATATTTAAATAATTAATTTAATAATCTTTAAAATTATTATACTTAAGATTAAGTTATAATATATAAATATTTATAATTATTAATTAAGATAAGAAGTTTAAAATAATAAAATTATAATAAAATATATATTATTAACATAAATAATAATAAATAAATTAATAAAAGCGCTGCTTATTAAAAAATGAAATTAGTTTTTACATTAGCTTAAATTAAAAAGCATTAAAAATAACTTATATAAGGGAATTTTAATAAAAAATATAATAATTTAATAATAGTTAATAATAAAAGATAAGTAAGGGTTTAGTCTTTTAATTTCTGCTAGTTTAAGGGGATGTATTAAATTTAATTAATAATAAATATATTATGATTAAATGGTTTTATGATAAATTTATTATAAATTTATTAAAGAATGGTAATTTATTAATAATTTATTATAAATTTATAGTAAATGCTTAAGGCATTAAGATTTATAAATAAAAACTAGCCCTTATTATTTATTAGCTTAAAAATAAAATAATAATTAAGTAATTATTATATTAACCATTAGAATTAATTATATTTACAAGGATTCCACTATAAGATATGTGTAGAATTTAACAGTTTCTTTTAAGTGCTAAAATGCATCTCCCCTGGCAGTAAGTACCTGTTGGGTGTGTTAGTGGTGTAAAGGTACCTGCGGGTCGGAGAGCTATATTAAACCCACTTTGCTGCCGAGCTAACAAAATTAATGCTGGTCGAGTGTAGTCGGCAGGTTGCGAGTCTCTGTTCACTGCAGTGGCTTACCTACGCCACCTGTGGTGACCAATGATGGTGCCCAATACCACCGTGTGTGCAGTGGGGGTGGAGCTCCTTGGTCCACAAAGGCCTCGCAAAGGAACGGTGGGGCCACTTCAGATTTCACCACTGAACTTTACCCCAGGGCCATGGCACAGTGCGCATGCAGTTCCGAGAGTGATTGTTACCCTGAGCCACCACTACTGGCACCGTACCCCTACGATATCCCTGCACCAACTGCAGCTCGACCCCTGGCGGTTCCTTTACCCAGCATCTCTTCTGGACCGTTTTTTCCAACCCCTGACCGGGGGAAGCCCATCCGGTCTCCCCACAACTGCGAGCTCAGACATCACCACACTTTGAACTTCTTGCTCGCCTCGGGAGCTCGAGTGAGAGTCTCGGACTCCGCTTCTTCCTGTTGTGCATCGAATCCATCATCTTTCAATGTCATTGCACCAACGGAGAGACTGATTGCCCATGTAGCCCCTTTCCCGAGCGCGCCGCAGTCACTTGCCGGAGATCACGACACGTGGAGACACAGCCACAGAGATAGTCTCATCGCATGCCGGAACGGGCTCGAGATCGTTGAAACTCAAGACTCGGACTACGCCGCGCCTGGCCAGCATCTTGTTCTACTGCCAACTCCAGACCTAACAGCTCGCAAGCCGGTTGATCGCCCAGAATGACCGGTTCTGACACACGAGGGACACCGGTCCTGGTGCGGGACGGCACAAACATCGACAGGCGGCAATGCAGACGTGTCGTCCCGATGAAGGTATTAGTGCTGGGTCTCTGCCGGACAGGAACAATGTGTGAGTTTCCCGATCATAATCGACGTCCAAGCCGACCTGTCACCGCTGAACAACTGACACAATTCCACCATCAGCCGTCCGAACGGCCCTCAGGTCACTGGGATACCTCGAGACCTACCACATGCGCGCAGCCAGCACGGAGACGCCCCGCGACTGCGAGCTGTGGATGCAGGCCATCAAGGCCAAGTGGGACGGCGAGGGCAAGTTCGAGAAGGAGGACTGGGACCAGCTGCTCGGCCACTGCCAGGCCGTGTGCGACCTGCCCGCCGCCGCCTTCGCGCCAGAGCTGATCGCCGCTTACCCCAAGGCCAAGGTCATCCTCACGATACGCGACCCCGAGTCGTGGCACAAGTAAGGCCCCCCCCCCCGCCCCAAGGCTCGCCTGACTTGGCCCTATTGTCGCTGACAACTTCTCCCAGGTCCACTGCCAAAACCATCTACCAGGGCATCACGGACCCCGCCTCCCAGGTCGTCTCGCACTTCGACTGGGCCTTCTCGCTCTACCGCCCCATGCTGGTGGCGCTCTGGGACAGGCTGTTCGAGGGCGACTTTGAGAACCGCGGCGTCGAGGTCTTCAAGAGGCACTACGACCAAGTTCGGGAGCTCGTGCCGCCGGAGCGGTTGCTCGAGTACGACGTGAGCCAGGGCTGGGGCCCCCTCTGCGACTTCCTGGGCGAGGATGCCCCCGCGGCTCCGTTCCCCTTCACGAACACCATCAGTGATTTCCAGAGGGGGTTCCGGGGCCACAACACCCGGAAGATCCGGGGCGCGGTAATCAAGGCTGTCTTGCTGGTCCTCGCCATGGCGACTATCTGGATGAGCTTTGGTTATATCGCGAAATGGACTGAAGGTATATGAGGGTTTGTCGTCGATATCACTGCTTCGCGCGGAGTGGAGATAGGCGGAATGCTGTCAGCGGACGACGATCACGAGAGGGATTTAAGGCCGTCCAGGAGGGCAGCAATAAACGAAAGTCATAAGATTTCAGCAACGAGCGAGGGTTCGTCCAAGAATCTGTTGAGAGCTGGAGAGTGCCGCCGATACCTGATGAGCAGTAGGCGAGCTTCATGGTTCGTCTTCAAGCTGATTCGCGGCTGGGAAGGTGCAGGGGCGTATTGGGTCAACTGGGACAAATTACTATCTGGACAGCGTTGTTTTTCGGGATTCAGTTCTTAACGATGGAAGGTATGTGCAAGTATAGTTAATGCAATTTTACAGTTCAGAAGGATGAATATACTTATCCTTTTGGAACGAGTGTGGAAAGCTTCAATGTTCCCTTGCTCGAGCCGGGGCAGCTGACTACGCCGCACTCCCGGCACATGGAACCTCACCGACAGACGAGGTAACCAAGACAGATCTGGTGGGCGCAAGAGACGGGACCATTGACCACAGAGATTATTCGGAAGATTGCGCTGCACCCGCACGCTGTCGCTTCCAGCTTAGCGCGACGACAGCCACGCCGCAGCAAATGGCCCACGCCCCAATGGAGATCGTCCAAGCCGCGTCACGCGCCCAGGCCTGTCCTGCTGCGTCCCACCCGCTCCGGGCCGCGCCCTCCAGGTCGTCCACGTTCAGGACGCCCACCCCTTCACGCTCTAGAACGCCCCACACGTAGTCGCGGTAGCCCACGGGCCAGTCTGGGGTGTCCCAGTACCGGCTCTTCAGACCGAGCCTCCTTGCGGTGGCGATTTGGCTGCGAAGGGTGGACAGTTGTGACGGGGAGAAGCCTGTGATCACGGACCCGATGGTGGCCTTGAAGGAGGCCGAGGCGTAGTAGGCTGTCTTGTTGGACCACTCTTGGTTTAGTCCATCTGGGCTGTCCTGGGAGGTGCTGATGGCTTGCGGGAGGGAGGCTAGTGGCGCGTCGAGGAGTGTGTCGTGGTATTCGTCAAACAGTCGATTTGGGTCAGCGTTTATGCTGGTGAACACACTGCGTTCGGAGACGATGTTTCCCGAGCCCACGACGGTGATGGGGCCGGGCACCAGGCCGCCGTCTTCGCACCGCGTGAGGTACCGCTTGTCGCGCAGGGCGGACAGCTGTTCCACCACCAGCGGCCAGGTGTCGATGCTTTGAGTCTTGACGTCGATGAGCAGCACGAGCGTCGCGTTTGGATCCGTCCTAAAGACTCCCCTGGGCTGGGTAGTCTTGGTACCAGTGGTGCCTTGCGGCTTCGCGTTGATGCTATCGAGAATGCTCAGAAGCGGGTCGAGGTACATATTTGTCAGTGCGCGGTTTGGGGTGAGTGAAGCCTCGTCGTGCCCCACCAGGAGGTCTGTTCCGTCCTCTGTGAGCCACACGTCTGCCTCGACGCTCGAGCAGCCGGCCGCGAGGGCTGAGAAGAGAGGGTACGACCGCAGGTAGTCGTTGTGCGAGTGACATGCTCTGGGCTTGACGGAGTGGGAAAAGTCGTCCAGCCACTTCTGCTCCCCGCCGATGGGGTGACTGTTGGTCGTGATGGGGTTGGTGGAGATGAAGTCGTGAGGGACAGCGCCCATGGACGAGGGCTTGGTGAGGAACGTGAGGACGAAAATGAAGCTGCTGTTGTGGCTCTCGTTAGCGAGTTTTACTAAAGATCTGCTGGGCGAGCGGCGACGGGAGCAGACACCGGGCACCAACATGACGACAAGGGACCAGACTGTCCAAGCTGCACAGGCTTGGATTGTGTCCCTGCTCATGGCTGCAAACAATTTGCTTGCGAATGAGAACTGCCCGTGTCTGTCATTTGCGACTTCAACACTCGACTTTATAACACCATGCGATGTCTTGGCCGCACCATCGTGGAGGGAGCTCGAGAGCGTCTCGTTGTCCCCCGGTTGACCACAGCTCGAACCCCCGGTGGTTGGAAGCCTCCAAATTGTAGACGAAATTGCTGACTGCTCAGTTTGGGCCGTTTTCGAATGGATTGGTGCTGCGACATCCCGAAATTTGACTAGATTTGGCATGAGTGGAACTTGTGTCATGGCCCACCACTGAGGTGAAGACAGTTGACCGTTGACAAGCCAAATCCACCAGGTTACCTACTTATGATGACGCATGGCAGTCTGGAATCATGGCATTCGTCTAGTGATTCACTGATAATTCTCATTCACTACCAAAGCAGCTGCGTTGGTCACATTGACATGCCTCTCGACGGATCATGCAGACCCCGCCCTCGAAAGCAAGTGACCAGTGCATTGAAAAACAACACGTCCCATGCTTGGGAGGAACTCATCATAGATATGAGTTCAATCACAAGATCATGCGACCAAGGGAGTGGACGCCACAGCTTGAAAAACAGAGGCGTGATATTCAAGCTGACTGGATGCGCTTGGTCAACGGAGTTTGAAATGGAAGCGCGAGTGCCAAATGTAACTTCCTGTGAACAAAGATATGCGGTTTTGACAGGCCTTGGTGAAGAACCGACACAGGACCAAGATTATGCGTCCCCTGGAACGCTCTGATCATACTGATCGGAACTCTCATTTTCACAATGCTGGTTAAAGTATTTTCATGAACAACAGGTTACGTCCCTGCGAATCATGAAATCCGCATCACACTCGACATTTTTTGCCAAGATCTGGATTTCCTGCATTGGAATATGTTGGGCTTGGATGCGACCGCCTCGTTAGCGTATAAATTTGTAATCTCTTACAACACTAGCATAATCACGGGTAGTACATCTCCCGATCTCTGTCTTTCTGAAGATAAGAAGGCCTCTATCATATCGAGGCTCACGAATTCACAAGCTCGCATTGAGCTCTACCACCCGTCTCTGGCAGAGCACAAAGCACAAAGCGAGTCGTTGAACCAACACAGTGTTTCAGTGTTCTCTTACTTCGAAAATTATATGAAATAAACCATTTCCGGGCTATTTCTGATCCTTTGAGCATTATCCTCTGTTGCCTGGTGTTGTGCTTTCATAGGGAATAGCTGGACCTCGGTCATGCAGCACCCAATGGACTATTTCGTGCTTCGCTTCAACAAACAGTTCGCAGTTCAAATTTCACTCGGCATTGAAGGATATCCACAACATGTCTAACGCTCGGTCCGACTCTCGTTCAGGCTCTTTTGTGAGCGCCCGCTCAAGACCTTTGACAGCTCGCTCCAGCGTTCACTCCAGCGCCTTTGCAAGCGCTCGCTCAAACTTTCGGAGCGCTGGCACTCGTTCAGCCTCGGGAGGCTCGGGTGCAAGTGCGTCAAGAGCTGCACGGCTAGCTAATAAAAACGAATTAATTAAGAAAGAATTACGGAGGAGGCATATATGCCATGGAGAAAACAAGCAATTTACTTGCTTGCTCAGAAATGATTTGCAGTTATATGTATTATGAAGCCTTTTACCAGGGCGCGGTTCCAAGCTTCCAAATGATAGAAGCTGCATTCCCAGAAGATATCGTAGATGCCTGTGCCAGGTTCCCTGTCCCGAGGACAAGCGCGCCCCCGGATTGCGATAGATGCCAGCGGAGACGAAGCGGGGACCGTTCCACGAGAACCCGCCCCGAGATGTTGATCCTGAGATCGCCCGCCAACTCAATTCAGAGCTGCAAGATGGCACGCGCCCGACGACTGAGGCGCTGGCTCCCTTGGGGCTGCGGTATCTGAAAATCCTCGGCGCGGGGAGTCAAGGGACAGCCGTTCTCTTTGAGATGGACGCTTATGATGGCACAAAGCGAAAGCTTGTTGCTGAATATGAAACGGCGCAAGAGGATGACGACGATAGCATAGCCTGGGAGAAAGAATGGATGAGGGTGAGTGAGAGCGGAGAGGACATGCAGTACATTGTCGCCCTGCTATTCCCATCTTGCATCATTGATGTGGTCAGTCCCGATGGCTAATCCGGCTCATCCCTTTCTAGGCCACGGTTGGTGCGAGACATATCATTCAACGGCAACTCATCCACGGCTTCGATATTGTGGAGGATGAGGACGAATATGAAGACGATTCAAAAATGTATTTGATGGAGTTCATGTTAGTAAGATGTTCCCATCTACTGCACAAAACTCCACCAGGTTTACTCGTGAATCTCAATGATGGCGGTGGTAACTGGGAGGTACTAGGAAACACGGTCCTGTCGACAGGCTCTTACGCAAGATTTCGAAGAGTGAAACTAGGGTACGGTTAAAGAGCGGCGATTTGTGGAGAATATTTCTTTGCCGCAAGTGAAAAGTGGTAGCCCCATCCACTGAATCACACTGAACGGAATGATAAGTCTTTCGAGCTTGTATCGCTATGTCCTACCCAGATCGGTGGTCATTCGGTCTCAGTGCCATTCAGTAAAGAGCTGGTCCCTACGAGGGCCAACGGCCGTGTACTTCCGCCGCAAGATAATGCCTTGATAAATTTGGATATCAACTACAATAACGGTAAGTTATCCTCAAGGTGAAATGGAAAGTACATGCTAAAGAATCCTAGTTATGATCGGCGACTATGATGTTGATCCTGGAGTACATCCTCATGATGAGGTACCCATCTTCAAGGTATTCATACGTTTTCATTAAGTTGTCGTTCATCTCACCTGAACCACGGGTTACATGTGATTTGACAGAAGGACGTCTTGTCACACCACAATGTCCGTTCTGCAACAGAAACCCCAATTAATACGCCGCCGTCTTTTATGTGTTATTTAAATCCGTGTCTCCGGGTTCATGCAACATAACATGCTTTGGTAAATGTCAACAACTCTATCAGTGCTTGATCGGACCTGAAAAACATCATTTAGACCAATACGTTGCCCTCGGATATCTAATAGCAGTGAGACCGGTCTGATTCTTAGAATGCAAGCACCACATGCATAAGTGATATCAGATGGGAACGGTAAGAAATGACTGACGTTGCCGTTTTTCTACCGTTGACATACAGGGCTGACTGGGACTCACTGCGCCTTAGATTATGGTCAGCCTAATCACACAAAATAACTACGACAGACCGCCAATAGGCAGTACACAAACGATTTCCGGGTTACTGGGTAACGATTTCGACGTCTTTACAGTTAGTAAAGCCATCTGAATTAATTGCTCGCGGTTCATGTCGCGAGTTCCGAGCCCGAGACACTACCGTGAAGTTACTGCGCAAGATACTGAATTTTTTCGGTCATAGTATGGAGGCTATGTCCTCAATGAAGCGTTCGACCACTACGATAAGGGCCTGCGCATGACAATTGCGTGGATTATGGCGCATTCTCCTGGCAAGCGGCCTGAGATGCTGGAATTACAAGAGATCTTGATGAAAGCAGTCCGTAGGGACTATGATGAAGGCGACAGGATCTCGATCGCGGAGCTTCTCGAGAGTCCCCCGCCGCCGCCGCCGTGAGTTTCCTGAGTCGAGCCCTGTGCAGAGCTGAAGCAGTCTTGCATGACTTGTATATCATTTCGAAGTCCAAATCGTAACCCAATGCCACACCAAAATCGGTCTCAAATAGACACGAGTACTGAAGGGAGACTACTGATCAGATACTAGGCGTGATCCCATGAGTGGTGCTGGTGCCCCAGTCACAGCAGAAGACATTGCGAATGTTACGTGGCGTGCGACGCCGCCAGAGAGTCATTGGAACGACGGCCGCAGACATATTACTGGGATCAGGGCAGCAAGGCAACCGTGTCACCAGGGGCCAAAGGCGGAAAGCTCAGGGAGGCGCTGCAAGAAGAGGAACAGCCGCCTGGCTCGGCATATTTAACGGGCTAACGCGGTTGAGATTTGGGCCTCAGAGAGGCGCTTTAAATAGGGGGCTGGTCGCCCGACTCGGAATGCCTAGCATGCCAGTACGCATAGCGGGATTTCAGCGCGCGATCAGAACGCTGATCCCGCCGTTCGTGAGAGGCGATGCTGGGGATACTAGTAGCAGCGGGGATACCAGTAGCAGCGGGAATACTACTAGTAGCAGCAGCGGGGGCAGCGCTGACGACAGTGACGACGACCAATTGGCGCACATGATGGCGGATTTGGACGTGTGACTGCTTGATTCACATCTTGAAATACTTATTTTGGGTTTCCTTTGTAAGCTATCGCCTATAGCCTGAGTCTGGTGCGTATGTGATGAAAAGTCCAGCGAGACAAACTTCACATCGGGCACTCCGATCTCCGCCCCCGTCCCGGAAGCGCGTGGTCTATCGACCCGTTCAGAAAGTCGCCGACGTCCACATGTGAGAGCGCCCCACTCAGGCGATCCGGCAGGTTTTGACTGGTGCGGTCCCGCAGAGGTTTCATGGGCAGGGGTGTTTGTGCGACATGGAACGTCCGATTTGTAATTTTGCCGAGGCACCTCGACAGCGACGGGGCAACATGGGACAGGAAATGGATCACAGCTTATCTAGCAAAACGTGATTCCTAATGTTCTCGAAGAGTCTGATGTTGTTGAAAGTCGAAAATTGGTGTCTATAACTTCCTTGTGCCCCCTCGCTTAAGCCATAGCGGCTAAATATATCGAATGTGGCTGGCTGCAGTTCACTTTCCCATTTTGAAGAGCCTTGTCTTTCTACCGTGATTTTTCCCCGTCGAAATATAACCCTGAGACCGAAGCCAGCATCATAGAATTTTCAACCCACGAGCGCAGTACATCATGACTCTACAGATCTCAAAACCCATCACCCTTCCGTCGGGCCTCGTTCTGCCAAACAGGCTCGTCAAAGCAGCCATGGCGGAGGCAATGGCCGGTTCCGCCACGGACTACCTGCCAAGCGAAGCCATGAACCGCTCCTATACGGCCTGGGCAGATGCAGGCTGGGGCATGGTCCTCACGGGCAACGTGCAGGTCGACACAAAGTACCTCGGCCAGCCAACAGACACATCCATCATCGACAACGAGGCCAAGCAGCTCGAGTCATGGAAGACATGGGCAAAGACGATCAAGGGCCCCACCGGCTCGACGCCGGCGATCGTGCAGCTCAACCACCCGGGCCGGCAGTCCCCACTGGGCGCGGGTACCAAGGGATTCTTCACCAAGAACGTGGCGCCGTCGCCCGTGCCGCTGGACCTGGGCCCGGGCCTGCTGGCGAAGCTGGCGTCGGCCCTGGTCATGGGCACGCCGCGCGAGATGAGCCACGCCGACATCGAGGAGGTGGTGGCCCAGTTCGCGCGGGCGGCCAAGCTGAGCGCCGACGCGGGCTTTGACGGGATTGAGCTCCACGCAGCCCACGGGTACCTGCTTGCCCAGTTTCTCAGCCCCAAGTCCAACAAGAGGACAGACGAATATGGCGGGACCCCGCAGAAGGCGGCCAAGATCGTCGCTGATATCATCCGGGCCGCGCGCGCTGTGACACCCGAGGGGTTCACCATCGGGATCAAGCTGAACAGCGTCGACCACCAGTCTGACTCAGCACTCAAGGACTGTATCGAGCAGTTGCGGGTGATCACCGAGGCTGGGATCGACTTCTTGGAGGTCTCGGGCGGGACATACGAGGACCCTGTGGTGAGTGATGCAGTCCCCTTTAGTTTCGTAACGGAACCTTCCCTGAGGTCTTCGAGCTCGCTCGGTCTTTAATCATGTCCTGTCTTGCTCCTTGTTGCGATCTGTCAAGTTTGATGGAATACATGATGCATCAAAATGGGGACCGTAAAATCTGATTTCAAGTCATTAGATGATCAGCGGCGGCAAGGGATTCGCAGAAAAGTCCGAAAGGACCAAGGCCCGGGAGGCCTTCTTCCTGGAATTCGCAAAGGCCATCCGCCACAAGTTTGCCGACCTCCCACTCATGGTCACTGGCGGCTTCCGGACACGTCCAGGCATGGAGGCCGCGGTGGCAGAGGGTGGCTGCGACATGGTTGGCATCGGCCGCCCAGCGATTACCAACCCCAGCCTACCCACTAACATAATCTTTAACAAGGAGGTTAGTGACGACGACGCTAGGCTTTATCTGAAGAAGGTCCAGGTGCCCTGGATTGCGAAGATGATTTCGCCTGCCGTTGGTGCTGGCGCCGAGAGTGTGAGTTTATGACCTGTGATATTCTAAGTTAGGGTCTAACGTGACCTTTGCCCGATCCTGGATGCTGACATTCGTTAACTGCTGTAGGCTTACTATTGCGCTCAAATACCCAAGATGGCTCAGCTGTAGATTCTTAGGCTTATAGGTGTGGTGTGGAAAGCAGTATAGATCAGAGGTCTTGTGCGGCATTTTCGGGTTGCAAATGAAACCAGTTAGACTTATAGTTACTCTGTGGTGGTTCTGTGTGTTTATAATTATGGCCAAACTGGCCGTAGGGGGATTTAGAGGATCAAATTGATGCTATTTGAACAATACATACGTAAACTGAAATCGCAACGGCGATACCATTTATCTTACTCGTATCATGGGGAACCAAGTATGACCATTCAAGTGAATTGTCACGATGAATGAGGCAATACAGGCATTGCCACCCGAAGTGATGCAATACTCTATCAAAGTGCTCACCGAGGTTCTCACCGCTGCACCGGCGAACTGCAGGTTGTTTGCAGGAGAGACTTGCCACCATAACACGACCTCTCGAAACAGAATCGAAATGAAGGAGAGGACCACATCAATTATACGGATAGGAGGTATTCATCTGGACGGGGAAATCCAAACGAGACGATCCCACAGCATAATGCACACCGGACTATTGGCAGCTGCTACCAGTGGGAGTGTACATCAGAATTTGATGTCTCGTCATTGCCAACGCCTTACATGACGCTGGAAAGAATATACGCACTGACTCTCATGAGATCACTAAGTTTTATTTTGAACTTCACTTGGGTGACTTTAAGCCGTCACAGATAATTTTCAGGGCGGTGTAGCCCACTACTAGGCATACCTAGTGCAGAAAATGACCAGGATGGGCAAGCAATGTCACTTGAGGAATTGCGTTAGTTGCAACAATTCCTTGCGCCTCTCTCTCTCACTCACTGACTCAGCGGAGTTCTTGACAGGGAAAGCGATGGCGGCCGCGGCGTCTGTGTAATGAGGAGCTTCGGGCGTGGTTAAGGTGCACGGTGAAAAGAAAATTGGTTCAGTGTTCATTGTTGCTGCATGAGACAGACATCTAGAAGAGTTCGATGTACGTGCAGCACAAGCTTGGAGACGGTGAAGTTAGCGTTACAAGATATAATAATCGCAACACTCTCAGAGACAACATCTTTCAGAAATCTCAGCTTATCTTCAGAAGCATTCTGTCCATGGCGAAGCAGAGTGGTTGTTGAGTTGAGGGTGTCTGCCGTCGTTCCCATGCCAAGAGCTGCCAGCTGGCGCGCAGCTGTGCACGTAGAATGTCGACGCTCGGACCAAGTCCACAAATCCACTCCCGAAAAACTTCTGGGCAGCCCTGACCACTTTTTTACATCTGCGACAATTCGCATCCCGTTCCATCCATCGACCAACCTCTATCCCATCCACCAGACCGACATACTTGACTGCCAATTCCTCCACGGAAGTCATATCGTCACCTGCAGTCAAAATGTCTTCTCCCCAGCTCAACAAGATCGCGGCGAACTCGCCCTCCCGCCAGAACCCCTCTGAGCTCGAGACCAGCATCGCTGGTGCCCTCTACGACCTCGAGACCGGCACCGCCGACCTGAAGGCTGCCCTCCGACCTCTGCAGTTCGTCTCTGCCAAGGAGGTATGAATCAAACCTGGAAACATTCCTGAAGAGAAAGCATCTTGGGCTCGGAGAACATGAATCTCGCGACCGACCATCTACCTGTTCCACCGAGTGCGACACCGTTTGTCTGCCTGCAACGAATCGCTCCGACTTCGAGAGATGCAGCACAGAACATCTCGCTGCAAACACACAAACAGAGAAACACTCGGGTCGAACGTGGAATAGGACGGGAAGCGGTCCACGGGGTTCTGTTCTGGACACAGACAGATCATCCGGGAGCTCGCAGGCTAACTTTGTGATCTTGAATAGATCGAGGTTGGTCACGGCAAGAAGGCTATTGTCATCTTTGTCCCCGTCCCTCTCCTGCAGGGCTTCCACCGTGTCCAGCAGCGGTAAGTTTCCATCCTAGCATGACAGTTCCATGGCTCCTCGTCACTGACATCTTCTGTTGTAGCCTCACCCGTGAGCTGGAGAAGAAGTTCTCCGACCGCCACGTCCTGGTCCTCGCCTCGCGCCGCATCCTGCCCCGCCCCAAGCGATCCACCCGCTCGCGCAACACCCAGAAGCAGAAGCGTCCCCGCTCCCGCACTCTGACCGCCGTCCACGACGCCATCCTGACCGACCTCGTCTACCCCGTCGAGATCGTCGGCAAGCGCCTCCGCACCAAGGAGGACGGCGCCAAGACCCTCAAGGTCATCCTCGACGAGAAGCGCGGTGGCGTCGACTACCGCCTGGACACCTACTCCGAGGTCTACCGCAAGCTGACCGGCCGCGGTGTCACCTTCGAGTTCCCCCAGTCCACCGGCACCGAGTACTAGACGCGCCCTCCTACCCTTGATGAGCTGTAAGCTTGAGGACCTGGCCGGCTCAAACAGCCGCCTCACCCCCAAGCGACCATTAAAACAAAATGGACGGATACCCAAGGGGGCCTCAAGGTCTTTGGTGGACAACCCACTAGAGGCTTTCAATTGGTTGATTGATGCATGGGAAGTACGGTTGGCAATGGCAAAAAGTCTTTTTTGGGAGGCATGACGGCGTTTGTTGCGTTGGTCGGAGCACGGGATAGCTTGGATCGAATAGAACAAGCATGGTTCTGAAATAACTGCCAATGAATCGCCAAAAATGCCCCAACGACATGTCTGCAATGCAGTGACAATCAATGCCAATGTGCAACAATGAATATCATCGTAAAAAGGTCTTCCTGCAAAACATGTCTTTCCATTCGGGGTATCGTGCCTTTTGTCTTTCAGCTACATTCGCGCAAACCGGCGCTCTATGTCTTTTTTTTCTTGGTGTCCACACGTCGCTCAATCCTGGCTGATCCTCCCAAGCCCCATCACACACCAATACGCAAGCTCCCTCTTCTCCCTCCCGTCGCCCTTGCTGTCCCCGGCCCGGCCCTCATCGCCTGCCGCGTCCGTCTCCCACTCGAGACGCACAAACATCGGTATCTCCAGCACGTCCTCGTCGGGACGCAGCGGGCCCATGTCCAGCTCGCGCTTGGTGCCCAGCCCCCAGCCGCCGCTGCCGGTGCGCACGAGGCTGGCGTTTGTCCTCGCGCGCTCCAGGCTCGCGGGGACAACCTCCACCACGATGGTGACCCAGTTGCGGCCGCGCTCCCACACCTTGCCCGGCTCCACGGACGGCTGGCCCGTGCCCCCGCCGGGCGTGTCCTCGCGCTGCTGCTGCTGCTGCATCTGCTGCTGGAGCAGCGACCGCCTGTCTTTCAGGGCCTCGTCCCAGACGTCCGTGTTGGCGTCGATCTCGAACTCCGGGCACAGCACGGTGACCTTGCTGGCGAATCGGCCCGGCGTGACGGACGGCGTGGCCAGCGTGACGCGGACGGGCTCGAAGATGGGGTTCTTGAAGGTGAGCAGGTACTGCACGGGCCGGAGGGGCGCGAGAAGCGCGGGAGGGCCCGCGGGCGCAGAGGTCGACGTGCCCGCGAACGGGTTGCCCAAGATGCTCTGCGACAGCGACGTCGCCTGCAGCGGCCGCATCGAGATGCTGGGGATGTAGCTCCCCGCCACGAGGCGGATGCGGAACCGTGTGTTGGTCACCTTGGCCTCGGGCTTGGACACGATGTGACGGCAGACGGGGCACCGCTTGGAGCGCTTCGTGCGCAGAAGGTAGGCGACCGGTCGCAGCTCGTCGACGAACCGCGAGCGGCCGTGCAGGCTCGGCTCGCACACGTTGACGGGCGGCTGGGAGGTCGTCTGGTTGTGTGATGCGGTCTCGTCCCAGGCGGACTTGTGCAGGCGCTCGATGGCCTTTGTCTCATCTAGATCCGCGACTTGCAGCCCTTCGTCTGGCTCCAGTGACTCTCGCATCACGTTGGACCGCGACTTGGCTTTCTTGTCGCCCAGCAGCCCTGTTCCCGTGTACAAGCTCATTATGCGTGATAGGGAACCCGGCGAGCCAATCCCCAGCTCCCCGAGGGACGACAGGCCGCCTTTGTCAGAAGCATCTGCGAGTTGCGACTGGTAGAAGGCCCTCAGGTTTGCGAACTGGGTCTCGACGTCGAGGTCCTCGGCTGCTCCAGCTGGAGCCTGCTGTCTCGCCGCCGGTGCCTCCTCCCCTATTGGTGGCAGAGCAGATGACCCCAGCGCCGTCGAGCTCACGCCGCTGCTGGCTGTGACGGCCTCCTTGCGCCTGTCCTTGCGCTCCTTTGGGGTCAGCCGTGTCTTGCCGCCGTTGCGTATTTTCTGAAGCTGCGCGTAGATGCCGTTTGGCTTGTCGAACTTGATGCCGATCTCACTGGAGGTCCACTGGCAGTAGGAGCAGGTGAGGATGTAGGACGGGAGAGCGGAGGAGTATGCCTCTTTGCTCTCGGAGTCGGAGGGGGGTGGGGGGTCGACCGCGGTGGCAGATAGAGGCCCTACACAGACGGGGCATTGGAAGCAACTGCGGGTGCACCTACGAGACAGTCAGCGATCGAATTCGCGTAGACATAAGCACTTTGTACTCGGACAGATATATGAGATTGACAGCGCGACTTGGGCATATGAGTTGGCCGTACCTGTTGCCATCGCTCTTGATGTTGCTCCCTGGCACCTCGAACAGACAGTTGGGGCAGTAATATGTAACAATTTCCTCGGCAATACACCTGGGGCAGCGGATCTGGTGGCAGTCCTCGCAGTAGAGCAGGTACTCGAGGGGGTAAAGGCTGTAGGCCGCGCGAGGGGCTCGCGGGTCGAAGGGCCGCTCGAAGGCGTCGAGCTCCTCGGTGGCGCTCGGGGTGGTCGGATCGCTGTGGCTGTGGCGGGAGAGGTTGGCAGGGTCGGAGCAGGGACATTGAATATAGGTGTATGGAGTCAATGCAGCCATCGTGAAGGCGCGCAGCGGCTTGGGCGTTGCCCAACCTGCGGGCAGATTGTCGTGTCGAGCGTGTCGAGACGCGTCCTCGGACAGACAGCACGAAGCAGGCGCTGGCTGGAAAAGGCGTGGGCAAGATCACAGGCCCATTCTGTGACGCAATAGAATCGGCTGCTATTCAATGTGTGGGCTGATTCAATATGTCGCCCTCCGAGGGAGACATGCACGCATCGTTCAAACGGCCGGTCACGTCGGTGAGCTTCAAGGTGAGCGCGCAGAGGTACCCAGGTACCTCAATGCTGGAATGCTTGCGCAATGTAGGGGCTCTCATCGGAGCTTGGGGCACTTGCGCCGATGATCTTATCTGCCATCCCTGCTATCTGATACGTACTGATTCTACGTACTGTTCTCCGCATGGGAAAACCCAAAAAGTTGAACTGCCTGCAGCAGAGCAGAGAGGCAGCCACAGATGCACCACGCTTGCACCATGCAACATACTGAATCTGGTCCTCAAAATTTGTCTGAGTCCTGACCAACCGGGGCAGTGCCAACTGTCAGACGACAGTTGCAATGCATGGACCTACACGCATGTCTCGCCCTCGCGAGAGCTCACCTCCTCCATCACCACAATGCAGCGACAAATTCAGCGTCGTCGCTGGGCGTCGAAGCTGGGCATGTGACGAGCTGACCCGCAGCGAGCCAGACTCAGAACAACCTCAACAACACGGGAGCCACGAGAGTTTATTCTGTAGACTAATATCTCAACCTCCGGCTACAGTGTTCCCGAGGACTCAGGGGAATGTTCATACGAGGTTCTTATATTGCAGCACGGGTCGGCACTACTGGCTTTTTGCACGCCAATCAATCGACGCTTGTGATCCCTGCGAGCTGTAGCCGAGCTCACGATGGCCTCGCCAGGTCGGGTACCTCAGTCCGACCTCTTTACCTGCTTCCACTCGTCCACGAGCTGCAGCTCCAGCTTCTCCTGTCGATGACACTGCCATCAATTTGATGACTCATTGCCGGCGACACATGGCATGGCATGCAATGGAGAGACGTCGCGCACCATATGCTGTCGAGTGGCATGGCACTTCGCCACTCCTGTGGCAAGCGTCATTCGTCAGTAACAAAGGACGCGCCATCATGGGAAACAAAGGCCCCGTCTAGTAGATCACAGACTGGCGGGCCGAGAGATGCGTTTCATCGAGCACACGGTCCGTAACCTTGGCCTGGCGCCGTATTCAACAAGGTCTGAGCCCTTCCCATCTCGGCTGCTGGCCATGCCGTCCGCCATGCCACCAGTTCCCCTAGCAAACCGTACTATCGGCGAAGCCACATCCCTCAGCCCTGGGCTCTCTCCCATGGCCATCATCTATTTCCATGCTGTCGGCAGGGAGCCACCTCGTCATGATGGGATCGGCGAGGTCTGTTTGAGAGACCCGGAGCTGCCTGGAAGAAACGGGACATCCCCGGCAAAAGGGCTGGTGATACCGACACTTCGGAAGCACTCCAGACGATACGACCGAACTCAATCAAGATCATCATCAGCGTCTGGAAGGGCAATACGATAGCACCTCGCATGCTTTGTTAGCCCTCACAGCTTGTCGATCATTCACCAGCAACTTTTCCTGGCGGCTATGACCAAGGCCTCCCGCCAGCGAATGAGGTCGTACTTCGTACGACCCTGTCTCTGGCGTTGCTGGGGCTCCGGACCTGCCGCCATCATTGGAGGCACTAGGAGCCGACTACGGCAGAGCATAATAAAGAGGAAAGCCGAGCCAAGCTGCGTGGTTGTCTCTGGAGCTGCGCCTGGCCGCGCACAGCTTGCGGGTGGCTGCTGCAAGGTTGTCCCTCACTGGCCTCGTAGCGGTAGTCCCTTGGAATGTTGATCCATACGGGACTCCGGCCCAAAACATGGCGTCTGAGCTACGACAGGAACCCGTCCACCGCCGTCCGCCCAGGCACTGGCCACCCATCAACAATCGGTATTGCTTGCAGTTCACCTCTTTATTGCCTGATTGCCTAGCGATGCTCGGGCCATGATGTTGCACCTCCGCCTCTGCGCTACCGCCCTTGCGGATGCTCAGCTCTGAGACACGCAATCCATCTTATTACTAGTGGGCTACCTGCTGCAATCCTCCCTCACCCTCTCGCTGCTGTGACCTTGCTGGAAACTTGTTTCAAGGAGATGTCGCCATCTGCGCGCATTCCGCACCTCAACGTTGCCACCCTCCGGTTTTATGGTCGGCAGATTCCCCTCATCGACAACGCAGCAGCAACGGCCTGTGTGTACTCCTTTGCCTTGTTGATCTGATCCCCTCACTGAACACGAGGTGCTCCTCATGCAGTGTGCAAGAAACAGGGTATGCGTTTTACACACCTCGCTCTGCCGCCGACTGGTCCATTGTCCTCTTCCATCCCAGTAGCTACAAAACTTTAACACCATTAATTGGAGGCTGGCTTGCCTTGCCTATCGCTAGCCGCTACCACCAAGCCTGGCCCCCGCCCAAACATACCAGGGATCTCAGCTTTACCGCGACCAGCCGGGGCTTGGGCGAGGCGCAACAAGGACCAACCCAGCTTCGTCGCTTGCGTCTGGATAAGCTGACGGACATACAAAGAACGCATCATGGCCACGCTGGACCCAGGCCCTCTGGACTTGCGTTGTTTTTCTCCGGAGTCGAGGCCTGCAGATGTCGCCAGCATGCTCTATAATGGTATCTCGGATCGGTCACGAGGCTGGAAGTCGAGCAGGTCAAGGGAACTGCTTGGAGCTGAGGCGAGGATGCAGCGAGGCCTGAGTGTCATGAGATGGGATGGCAGCGCCAGGATTATGTCTGGCTGGGACAGTCTTAGAAAGGTGAGCCACCGACAGTCATGTTGGTGTTCTTGAGCATCCAAACCAAGACAAGCACGCTGACAGAAGCAGGACCCGGAACTGTGGTACAAGAACGGCGACTGTTTTGTACACTTGTATGAGAAGGGCCGGTCGCAGAGGGGAGCCGCCTTCAATGTTCCCTTCGCATGTCTTCTTTCTGCCCAATGCACGCCTTTGATAGAAAGATTTGTGGATCGATCCGTATCAGAGGAAGAAGCCCATCAAAACGGCCGAGTCGACCTCTATATCCCCGCGCCACCGACAGCGAGTCGCTCCCAGGCCCTGCAATATCACATCGCGACAAGGAATTTCTTTGCCTGGATTTTTCGACGATCAATGGTTGGAAACCACCTTGGAAATGCACTCGTCGCCCTACAGGGCAGCATGCAAGAGTTTCGCGACGCGGGGGTGGACAACAAACGAGATCTGCTGAGCTACCTTGACGAAGAGGGATATTTGGACACGCGACACCAGCCCAATCATGCCCTTGCTATTCTGCATGTGGCCGAGAACTTTGAGCTGCGAGACTTGTACATTGACGCGTTTGCGCACTGCGTCGGGATGAGCGAGCAACTTTACAGAAGCCCAGAGTATTCGGTAAGCTCAAGCTCCCATCCCTGTCCGTCGAGGCCGCCAACCCCAGGCTACCTGCGACTTGGCACCGCGTGTGCTGACATCTATGGCTCAGCGCATCAGTGTCGTATCGCGGAAGCTTATCCGGCTGGCCAGAGTAGATCTGGACAATCGGCTCAGCCGCGCCGGTGCAATGTTGGGTGATCTTCTCGAAACGGAACTTTCTGAAGCCCACCTCGGTTTGTCAACTGGCGCCCGTGCCCATCTTGACCGATTCAGGAACTACATTCAAGGCTTTTACACGACCAAGTTCGGGTATTTCCCGCCTCCGCCTGCCCAAGGAGGGCACAGTACTGTGTTCAAACCTGAGCTTTATAACACTCTGAAGGCGGACTTTGAAGCGCTCTACGAATACCTTGTCGATGAAAGGTTCACGACGGCTGGCAACAGCCCCTTTGAGGCGCAAGGGGGGCTATGTACGCTTCAAAGTGTGCAGGCCTTTGACTCGAGAAACAAGTTCTCGCCTCTGGAACACCCACTACCGCTTCTGCCAGAGACACCCAGGAGCAAGGAGTCTCGAAGAATGTCAATGCCTTGGCAACTTGTCGCCGCAGCAAGGGCTGGCGACGGCAAGCTGCGCCCCGACCAGCGACTCGTTGTACACGCTGCACTCATGAAAGCGACCAATCACACCAAAGTGCACCTTATGGAGAACAGACTGGTCCTGGCGTACCGCCAATTCGAAGAGAGTTCGGTTCTCACATCGCATAAAGCCAACCGGTCCGTCTCCCAGGTTGATGCCCGCAAGGTGCGGTGGCTGTTCGTCTACGCAATGCACCAGGTTCTTCGGACCTGTGCAGACGTGCCGAGGGAGGTCAAATTCACAGAGAGGGTAGAATATCACCTTGGCGTCTCAACAAAAGGATTGCCGCCGTGGGAGGGACGCGGCCAAAGTGTTACTCGCCCGTCTTTACGATCTGTCAGTGACAGCGCGGCCATCAACAAAGCCAAGCCTCCCCCACTGGCGTTTGCAGCACGTGGCCGATCCATCAGTGATCCCACTGGTAACCTCTTTCGTCCTGCCGCCGGTGAAGACGCCCCTGTTGGACACTTACAGCACGGAGATACAGCCTGATATCGACTATTTCGCGCTGACACACCGAGATGAAAGTCCATCAAGCGGGAGAGGGAAACATGGTGACCCCACCACGCCCTCTTCCCACTCCCGATCTCGATCTCGCAGTCTCACGAGAGCCATGTCTCTTCGACGGTCATTGAGTATATTTCGCACACCGCCTAGCCAGAGAATCAAACCTCTGGAGCAGGAGCCGTCAACACCGACCCGTCGTCCATCTAGCCGGAACTCTGCATACCATGAGATTGTTGTTCAGCGGTACGGAAACGGCACGAACGGTGCTACTAATACCACGAGCTCCAAGGAGGACCTTGACGTGCTGCCAGACATAAAGGAGGCATCCAAACCGACGCCTTCCCTGAAGGTCGTCACGACACCCTCCACAACCACATGCCGATCCGCTTCTACAAGTTCGACAAGCAGCTATGTGTCAGCGCTATCGTCAGCCTCGACGAGCCATACCAACAGCAGTGCTTCCACGACTCCCACCACCATGGATGGGAGCCCAAGTTCTACACGATTCTCTAGACAAAAATGGGACACCACGCTCCCAGATATTGCCGGGTCGCCTGAAGCTCCCGCCACTGTCCCTGCAGACATCAGCACGCAGCAGCGGCAGCAGCCATCACCACCACAGTACGACAGCCTGACCTTCCCCATCCGCCGCCACCGCACCCGCAAGTCAATCCGCGCGATGCACTCGAGCGACGACATGCTCGCGTCCACACCCAAGGCCGAGCCCCCACCGCCACTGCCCCGGCGCAGCAGTAAGCGCTTCAGGAAGCCGTCTGGGGGCCCGTCGAAGCGCTGGAGCCTGGCCGAAGTGGTTTCGTCGCTGCGCGAGAGGAGCTCCGCGGCCGACAGCGACGCCGAGGACTCGGACGACGCGTGGGGGCTCGCGCCGTCGCCGCTGCGGATCACCAAGACGATCAGGCGGCCGGGCACGTCCTCCTCCCGCCAAGCCGTTGCCGCGGCAACCAAGAACGGCGGCGGCGGAGGCGACGGTGAGGACGGTGATGCTGTCTTTGCTGAGCAGCGCCGGGACTCGAGCGACGAGTGGGAGAAGTCGGTGGTGCATAGCCCCGTGGACGGGGATGTCAGCCCGCCTTGGGCCTGGGAGCAGTTTGCTGATTTGGGTGGGCTGCAGGATGTTTCGGGGCTGAAGTAAATTTTGTTTCCGGTACACTCTTTGTTGTTTTCTTTTCGTCTTCATTCCTTGGCGTCTTCGCATCACATCACGTATGAACGTGCTGGTATTCTTATCGGGTCTTCCTTTCCGTCGGTGTGTCCAATTACCATTACGCATGCCCGGCGCGCAGGCAAGGTCATTTTTGAGCTCGGGAGACGTGGGCTGGGGGGTGGTTCGGTCGGGGATGGGAAAAGCTGTCACTCCTTTGTGGTGTTTCTTTGAGTCTCCTATGTCTTTTTCCAGGTCGGTTCGTAGGAGATACCCATACTGTCCTTTCGGAAGTGAAGCTGAGTCTTTGCGTGGTCTCTGGCAAGAGGGGGACGAATACACGTTAATGATTGCAATGACGGTCAATGAAACATGGCTAAACAGACCCCTCACTGTTCTTTTGCCGATCTTCGAGTATTCATGTGTGCTTGTGATGACTGACTTCAAGGGATAGGATGTGGTGCTAGACGGACAAATACTCTTGGGAGTAGAGGTCATTTCTGTGTCATGAAGGAAACTGCGCGACTGGGTTAAATAACCGGGTGTTTGGATTTTCTTGTACTTAGAGCTCGGCCGAGAAGCACGTCTCTCTTATTATCTGGTGTATCGAGATGCGAACGGCAAGCAATACAATGACGACCTGGAAAGGTATATTTCGATACTTAAATGTGTCCAGATCTGCTACCTGTTGCGCGAGCTTCAGCGGTACCAACGGATGTGCTTTGAAACCACCCTTCGACGCCCTTGGAGTTGTTCCGCGACTGCAGCTTGAGATCTCGATTATAAAAGTGTCTCATGACGAGAGCGGTTATCGCCGCGGCGGCGCCGAACCCAGCCGTGATGTAGTCGCCGGTCACAATGTACGGCTGCAGATTGGCTGGGAAGGTGAAGATCGGAACCCAGGCGATGAAGACGTAAGCGAACGCGTTCATCTGGGATTCGCGTTGAGTAATCAGCTAACGGTTCTGTGAAGAATACCAAGAATGATAGCACTTACCAACGCAGAGGTATACGCGCGCTTCTCGGGATCATCTCGGTTCGTCCCGTTGACCCACGTCCAAGTAATGCCGGCACAGGTTCCAGACAGAGCGGTGAGGTCTGGTGGGAGAAAGGTGGTCAGAAGTTATCTCAAAATCCAGTTCTCAATGTTCGGGAGGATCTCACAGTAAAGCGCCCAACGGGTTGCAATGTTGGCCGGATGGACGGGCGTGGCAGCTAGTGCAATGGGGAAGATGATGGCCATCACACTCGCAAACACCATGCCCGGCCATCTGGCCGCGCCTGGCAAGCTATCTGACACCCACGAGTTTATCAGGATACAGATGATTGAGATAATGTTGATCTGCCTATGTGAGCTTGGCTTTGTTACCTCTGGGTTTTAGGGCGACTTACACCAAGGGGGATGATGTTAATCTCGGCAACGGAAAATGCGGCTGGTTTACCGGGGATGTTGTAATTCTTAACCCAGAAGATCACTGTGGCTTATTAGGTCGCTATTATGACTCGGAGTGAGGATTTTAAAGCTTACTCGAGCCTCCGGACTGGCCCACATGGGTCAGGAAGGCGAAGAACAAGGGAACTTGGACCTGTCAGCGTCTGAAGTCCGTAAGCTTTGCTTGAAGTTCCTCACACAGATAGACAGGCCACGTGGTGTGCCAGCGTTTGATATCTTCCCACTTAAACAGCCCGGTCAGGAATTTGCGCTCGCTTGGCATCCTGGAACGGGCCAACTGGATTTCCTCCTCGCTGAAGATCCTGGCCGGCGGAAGAATTATGCCAGATGCGTAGCTTCGCCTGGGTGGGTGGGGGAAACCAACCAATTGGGCTTCGCTCTGGAAGGCAACTGTGGCATCACGAATGCCGTCCAGATAGCACAAGGGAGTGATATACAACCACAGACTCTATGCTCTCGTTGATAAAGCTCGACAGGGTATCCATGATCAGGAGCACCCACATGTACATCCAGCGCCACCCGGCGAGTCCGTTAGAGCCGTTCAATCCGGCATGGACGGCGGCCATGAGAAAACCGGAGAAAAGAGGGCCGACAGAGGTGAAGACTTGGATCAACGTGTTGCGTCGTGCTAGCTCGTGGGGCTTGTAGTAGCTCGAGCACACGTACATGACTGCAGGGAAATGGCCGGCCTCGAACAGGCCAACGCTGTGAGGAAGTCAGAGGTCAGTGGATTCGAGGGAAACGACAAGGCACAGCAGCGAGACTTACAAGAAACGAAAGACGTGGAGCTGGTTGACGTCCTTGACACCGGCGTGGGCGAATGTAAAGACGGTCCAGGCGAACTCCAGAAATGCAATGTACAGGGGCGCGTTGACCTGTCTCCTTCATCAGTACACGATTCAACTCGGGATGGATCCTGACTACCTACCCGTATAAGAAGTAAATTCGAGGGAATCTGTCCAAAGACATAGGCGGCGCTCCAGATGGCGGTGGCGTAGTTGAGCTCTTTCCCGTATAGCGCGAGATCCTCCTTCATACCACTGTCTGCAGGGAGTCTTAGCAAGAGCAGTCGATTCTATATTGATCACTCCCGCTACGTACTGACTGCATTGGTGATGTTGACCTGGTCGAGGTAGCGGCACATTACACCCAGGGCCGACGAAGAGATGAGCGTCAGATCGAGCTTGGTGAGAAATCGGGCCTCGTCCTCTGGCACATCGAGTGCTATATCGGTCAGTGCGTCGTCGTTATGTGTCTGGCTATTAATATTTGGATGCTCACTCGACCAGAAAAATGACCTCCATGTCTTCTTCGTCTCAGTGTACGGCTGTCCATCTGATACGATCTGGGACGGCTTTCTCGATCTCACGGGGGATCCCCCTCCGCTCTCAGCGACGACAATGTCATTTTTGGAGTCTTTCTCTCGGGACTGGGACATGTTGGCTGAGGCAGAGCTGATGCACGTACATCTGCGTACTCTGGGAGCACTTTCATCCCTACGTGGGATATAGTTGGGTCTTATCTATCGCATGCAGCTTTAATATATCCCAACCCCTACCCCCCAGCAAATAGCATATTTATCATAGCTATTATCTTAATAAATCTTATAATAATATCCTAAATATAAGCAGCAAAAAAATTATAATTACTTATAATAAAATTAATTAAGACTTATATTTTATATTTTAATTTATATATAATTTTTAAGCTAATAAGAAGTTAAATAATCAACCAATAATAAGTATAAATATTGGGAGTTGCCAGAGGCAGAGCTGATGCACATACATCTGCATACTCTAAGAGTACTTTCATCCCTACGTGGAATATAGTTAGGTCTTATTTATTGCATATAGCTTTAATATATCCTAACCCCTACCTTTTAATAAATAGCGTATTTATTATAGCTATTATCTTAATAAATTTCATGGTAATATTTTAAATATAAGCAATATAAAAGGCATAACTACTTATAACAAGATTAATTAAGACTTATATTTTACATTTTAATCCATATATAGTTTTTAGGCTGATGATAAGTTGAATAACCAACCGATAACAAGTGCAGATATTAGGAGTTGCCGGAGACAGGGGCCCGATGTTGGTGGTGTTGACGATTTCTGCAGACGCCAACGTTGCCTAGTCGAGGCTTACAGGAATATGAGTAAATCAGCAGCTTGATGACGTGCTTTGCAGCCCCGGTCGATATCAATATTGCTCAGTCCTCAACGCATACAGACAAATATTAAGCCTTATCTCACTCTTGGACAGGATGGACTTTGACCATGGCCAACGTGGCTAGCACAGACACGAAAGACCTGCATTCACCATTTACTCCTTTGTTCATAATTGTCGACCCGCCCAGTTCATGTTAATCCTGCCAGGAATACATGGGAGCTCCATTGATGATCATAGTGGAGATTTGTAAACAGATAGCAACTGGTACTGCTAATACACAGTGGAAAGCTACACTAACGGAAAGAGAAGGGCTCAACGAGTATATTCGGTGCGGTGCTCTGCTCATCCAAGTGACGACAAAATACCTGGCTAAGCCTCTTTCCCCTGACATATGCATTATAATAGTAAAATAACATTGGACAAAGGCAGGTCTTATCACAGTTGAAAACCTTCACTTTCCGAACTCATCGTATTTCAATGCCACATAACAATCTTTACGGTGTCATGTTCTGCTGACTGATGTGTTCAAATTGTTGGATTTTGAAACCCGTGCTCCGGGTGCAGCCCCCTCTCCCAGCTATTAGACATCGGTTCGGCGGGCTGACAGGCTGCCGGAGCCTTTGTCTCATGCCCGAGCAAGTCAATAGAGGATAAAGAGGGCAAGCGCTGCGCCACATAATCGCACTATCCCAAACCCGTGGACCTGTTGTACGCCTTAACACCGATCGCGTGAGCTCCTCCCAGTGGCGCTAGACCGTTGATGGTTCAGCTAGGCGCTTTCCAGGGCTGAAATATGCCGCGCTTCGGACACGGCATAGCCACAGCAGGTAATTATAAGACCAGGTGACCCTCAGAGCCCCTAAAGTTAGCCTAAGCTGAGCTCTTATTGCCAAATCCATCACCTAGACGAGACGGTTGTACTCCAGCTTTCCTCGGACAACTACAGCAAGCACAAGCACGCACATCAAGCCTAAAAGATGGATTCCAAGTCTTCCCCCACCTCCACCGCCTCCCTTGTCGAACCCAAGTCCCCGGAGGCGGCCCCGAAGAAATCCCTCTACCAGCGCTACCAGGACGCCAAGACCGGCCGCAACAGGCCGCCAGTCTCGGACGCGGAGCTGAAGAAGTACACGGGCAAGACGCGCGACGAGATCGTCGACTGGGCCCGCGACAGGCCTCATGTGGCTGGGAACCGGCTTGCCGGCAGCATCGACGTCGGGCCTGCGTCTGGGCTCGGCGGCACGGCTGCCGGTGATGGATTTGGCGGGTGGGGGCCGGGTGCTTCTGCGGAACTGAAGTTTCCCCCTCAGCAGAAAAAGGAGGGTGAGAAGGAGCTATAGTCGGTTTTTCTATGAGATCATGATATCCTGAGAGTGCTTTGGTATCGGCATGAGATTTCTTCCTTGAGATATGGGTAGTTCTGCTGATTTAGGGCTGTGCCTGGTGCTGTAAGGGGCTAGGTGTATTCAAAGCTCTCTACTGTGGAGTCCAGGCTCGGGAGGAGGGGTGGGGCGTTGGATTCATGCAATTGTTGATACTTTGATTCTAGTATGAAACTTGAGATGCACCCGCATTGGTGCAACTTGGACCTATAGCCAATCAATAAGGGGAGGACGTAATTCCAACAAGACGCCGTGTGTGTATCGGACACCTTGTTTAAGACATGTGATGATCGAACGCACCACGTTTTTTTTAGAATGACACTGGACAAAACTTCACATCCCACACACTCGAGCTTGATGATAAAAACAAAGCATAGGAGTATTACTGAAAGTCTAAATCATTATAATTCATAGGGAATACTTCGAGTCAATATCGAAGCTCGTATATAAAATTCGTCCGGATCATCCTTCATCCCTCCAAAACGCTACAGCGCGGCGACCCCGAAGCGAGTGGTCGGTGTTCAACCTCACGCTGTAACATTACCCGCAGCCTGCTGGTAACAGTAGCCCCTCGTGGCCACCATCCTCATCGCCTTCCACCCCTCCGCACACTCCGCGCCCCCGTCCATGATCCACTTCGCGATCGACCCAGCGTCCACCGTCACGTTCACCTTGGCCCCGTTGGTGGCCACCACGTTCAGGTTCAAGTCTCCGAGATCCAGCGAGTCTAGTCATTCGATGTTCACGTTGACCTCACCGTCGTCCAGTGCTACTGCGTTCACGTTGGCGTTGTTGTCGTCCGACTTGCTGCCGTCGACCTTCACGTCTGCCTTGCCACCGTCTGCGGCGACCGCCTTCACGGCGGCGTTCTGGTCGCCCTCATTGTTGTTGTTGTTGTTGTTGTCATTGTTGTTCTGCTGCTGATCCTGCTGCTGCTGATCCTGTTGAGCCTTCTCAGCTGCTGCTTGGTCGGCCGCATCTTTCTGCGCAGCCTGTTGGGCAGCGGCATCCTGCTCTTGAGCGGCAGCATCTTGTTCTTGCTGCGCAGCATCCTGAGCGGCGGCATCCTGGGCAGCGGCATCCTGGGCAGCGGCATCCTGGGCAGCGGCGTCTTTCCCTGCAGCTGCTTGGTCGGCCGCAGCCTGTCCATTGGCCTGAGTGACTTGACTGAGGACTTCGGCTTGCTGGGCCTCACTCAGGGCCTGGAATGAAGCGACGACATCCTCGACGGCGCTGGCGTTCTTGTCCTGTCGGGGGAGAAGAGATGGGCGTGCTGCGGCAGCTGCAACCAGGACTGCAAGGACTGTGGAGTACTTCATCTTGATTATTGGGTTTTGGGAATGACTGGGAGGGATAAAGTCTTCGTCGTTGGTCAGAAACTATTATTGTAAAAAAAAGAGTGTACAGCGCAGCTGTCTCTGGAATCGAAAATGAAGGAATGTGTACGTGAGTTCTGAATCCAAACAAGTGACCAAAACCAAATGCAGCTGAGAAACGCAGGAAGGAGATCGGCCCTTATACCATGGCTACCTGTCTTGCCAAACAGATGAAGCCTCGCGGCGATGATCTATGCCATGGACCCCTTTGCTGTTCAGCCTCCGTCCCAAGGCTTCTCCCTCATCCGTCTTGGCGTGGTGACCAAACACCCTGTTTCCTTATATCAGACTGGATGAACATTAGTCGGAAGTTGTCCTGTGTGGAATGCCCCGAGGCTTGAGAAGTGGGAATCCGTCTCAAGCTTGGTCTGATCTCCACAATCAAACATCAGTTGACGTATGCTCCACCTTGGCACTCTGCCAACCACGCCCAACAGCTCCAGTAGCGGTATGCAGCTCGGCAAGAATGCGCTAAAGCTCGGCAGGAATTATAAGGATAACATTAGCCTAAAGAGGTTAAGTGCAAAAAAGACAGGGATCCATATATAAAACAAGATATATAAAAAGTATACTTAGGAAATGAAAATTATAGCTTAATAATGTATTTTATAATAAGTTAATAGGAATTAAGTAAGCATTTAAATAAAAGATTAATTTATTTAAAATAAGTTTTAAAGGCTTTTAAAAAGTAATAAAAGTGCATTATAAATGCATTTTAAATGCAGCTTAAATAAATCTTAAATGCAATTAAGGTAAATATTATATAAGGTTTTATAGGCTATTATTTAGGATTATAAAATAGCCTTTACGGCATAATAAAAAATATTTATTAAGAATTAAGCAATATAAAATAAGAATTAGGCATTTAAATAAAATATATTTAAAAATAGTTTTAAAAAAAATATATAAAATAAATTTAATATAAAAAGGAAATTATTAAGAAATAGCTAAGAAGATTATAAGGAAATATATTTATAATATAATATATTTAAAATAATGCTTTTAATGCATTTTATATATATATTATAAAATAAATATTATAAGGTAAAATATATTATATAATATAATATTTATATTATTATAAATAATACTTAATATATAAAGATATATTAATATTGCTTAAATTAATAATTATTATAATAATAATAGCTAAGAATGATATATTAATAAAATAAGGGGTAATTAAGGGTTAAAAGGAGATAGCTAAAAGAGTTATAAAGAGCATTTTTAAAACTATTTAAAAGGAATTGCAATATAAACCTTAAAGATTATTTATATTATATAAGATTTAAAGATTAGCTTTTTAAAATATTTTTATAAATATACTTATATATTATTTATATTAGCTTTTTATTATTATTTTATTATGCTTTTTACTTATTTATTATTATTAATTTAAGTAAAAGATAATTACTTTATTTTATTTAATATAAAAGGTTTACTTTAATAAAATAAGGATTAATAAAAAGCAACTTAAGGAGTTAATAATATAAATTTAAATAAGGATTAAAATAAGAAGTAAGAAATAATAAAAATAGGCAATAAGGTATATATTTAGTATTTAAGTAAACTCTTAAGCATACCTTAAATTAATATATATATAATTTAAAAAGGATATAAGAAATGGCTTAAAGCTAAATTTCATTTTATTAAAGCTAATATATTATATTATTAAAAGCAATAATAATAATAATATTTTAATTACTATAAGTAAAGTTAAATATACTTTATTAATACTTAATTATTTAAATAATAATAAGTAAGGAATTGCTATGCTTATTAATATATAATATTATATAAGAAATAAAGCATTATAGCTTTTTAATAATATAAGTTTTATTTATTATATAAGAAGGACTTAAGTATTAATATATAAATTAAATATAATTTAGCTTTAAGTATAAATATAATATTAAATATAAGTATAGCCTTTTAACAGGGACTATTTATATAATATAAGAATTTATATATATTAAGAGTAGAATTTATCCTTATTTATATAAAGACTTAAGGGGCATCTTTATATATATTATAAAAAAGATAAGGGAAAAGTAAAAGTTAATTTAATATTAAGCAAAAAAGCTAATAATGCATATAATAATTATAAAGTATAATACTTAAGGGCTTAATAAGAGGTATTTTGCTAATGCTATTTAATTAATATTATATAACCCATTAAGCATTTAAAATTAGCAAAGCATATAAGCAATATTATAATAAAAATTATAATAACCTATATTATTTAATTTTTATTATTATAAAAAGCAAAGTAAGTATAAATTCCTTTAATTATATATAAAAACATTATTAATATTATTTATAAATTAAATATAGTATATATAAAAATAAAATATTATTTAATATATTAATTAAAGGATAAATTTATTAAAATAATATTTTTTTAAAACCTTAGATATAAGTTAGGATATAAATATTGCCTTTCTTTAAGAATAATTAAGGCGCTAAGATAAGATTAATATATATGCTATATTAAGCTTTTGCAGCTAAGTTAGGAAGAAGAAAGGATGCATTATTAAGTATAATAAGTTAATATTAAAAGTAATTTAAGGGCATTATAATTAATAATTATAATTAAGTATTAATTATCCTTAAGGCTAAGATTAAATAATTTTAAGAAATTATTTAAGTATATTTTTTTAATTCTTTATACTTAAAGATTAAAATTATGCTATTAAAATAATAATAATAATATATAAAATGCATTAAGGGCATTAATTTAGCCTTATTAATAAAATACTTAAATTAAAAGAAACGTAATTATAAAATATTATATTAATAATAAATAACTTAATAATAAATCTTAATATGCTTTTTTAATAAATTTATAATATTTTTTAAGTATTAATTAAGGGTCCTTTTAAGGAAGCTTTATTAATACCTTATAATATAGGAACTGCTATATTAATATAACGGCATAATATTTATAAATATTTATAAGAGCTAGAATAATATAAATAAGCTATATAGTTTAATGCATAAAATATATTAAATTTACTTTTTAAAGGGAATGAATATTAATGCTATATTATAATAATATAAGCACTTTAATTTAAAGTCCTTAAGTTAAGTATATATATTATATTATATTATTTTGCTTTTTAAGTGCTAACTAAGGGCTTTTTTAATATTTATAAGAAATTGTTTTTAATAAAATTAATTACTTTTTTATTACCTTTTTCTTAAAATAGCTAAATATATTAAAAAAACATTATATATTTAAGATAAATTTATCTTTTAAATATATTGCTAAAATAAAATGAAATAAATTAATATTTAAGTTATTTAATTTAATTATTAATAAAGGTATATATATTCCCTTTATTTTATCTTAATATATTATTAATATTTTTATATAGTTATTATTGCAATTTATATATATATTAATAATTTTAATATATCTTATTCTTATTATCTTTTTTTTAAATATATCTTTTAAGCTTAAAGTTTTTATAATCTTTCTTTAAATTAATCTTTTCATTATAATACTTTTTCTTAATTTTAAAAAGTAATTATTATAAATATAAATTTAAAATAGGTTGCTAATATATTTTATTTATTAACTCTTTATTTACTTAATATTAACCTAAAAGCAAGTTTTAGGAAATATTTTATAAAGCTTAACCCTTAAAGTAAATTATAATAAATATAAATATTATATATTATTATCTTTTGCTAAGTTTACTTTAAGCAAGGTATTAAGAAACTTATTAAACCTTATATATTTTTTTATAAAGAAATAATTGCATTATTCTTAATTAAAATTAAGGATTTATATTATAATTAATGCTATTTAATTACTTATAAATTTACCTTTATAATTTATTATTTATATATTTATATTGCATTATAAATATATTTATATTATTTTTATTATATATATTAATACTTTATTTTAGTTTACTTAAACTACACTTTATTTATTTATAATTAAGTTAAATATAAGAATATTAAGCTTATTATGCATAGTATTAATTATTATTTATCTTATATTTTACTTAGTATTTAGGATATAATCATTTTATATATAAATGTTATTAAGTCCTTATATTTCTTAAAGAATACTTATAATAAATGCATTTTATTACTAGAGGGATTTTTAATATAAGTTTTCCTTATATACTATTAAGATATCTTATTAAATATTTATAAGGATTATAAATTAAATATATAATACTTTTAATAATATTAATATATTAAAAAAGGTAGTTAGCATAATTATTATTAATGCGCTTAAAGCATGCATTTCTTTTAGCAAATAAGATATTAAGTAATTATATTTAGCTAATTAATTAAAATACTTAAAAGATGCCTAAAAATAGCCCTTAATATAAATAATAAGGATCCTTTTTTTAAAGAGTTTAAATATTACTTTTCTTTTAGCTTATTATTAGCTAAAGATAATATATAAGCTAATAAAGCTAAATGATAAATATATCCTTAGGATTTACTTATATTATATTTATTAAGTTTTCTATAAGCATTAAGTAAATTTAAAGAAAGTATTAAGATCGCTATTAAAAAATGCTAATAAAGGTAAAGGTTAAGTTATTAAATCTTTTAACATTTTTAATAAGTAATACTTAAACTTAATAGCAATATTTAATAAATAGCTAGCCCTTAAAAAGCTCTTAATAAGCCCTTATAGTTTAAGTATATTAAGTTCATCTTATTTAAGGGCAACCCTAGTAAATAATAAGAAAGCTGATTATGTTAATGTTATTAACCTTATATAAATAAATAATAATGCTTTTAATATAGCACTTAAGAAATACTTAAAGTTTCTTAATATAATAAATTAATAGTATAAGGAATGTATTTAAAGCCTAAAGATAAAATATAAGCATTTTATATAGCTATCACCTTATTCCTCTTCTTTATCTCTTCCTTATATGCAATTATTTTATATAAGCACTTATTAACTT